GCCGCCAAGGCCAAGTGGTTTTCCTTCAAACCACACCCCTTACAAAAGGTGAAATACAATATTCCGTATTTACTGTAATTTTTTACGACTTACTAGAAATGTTTAATTTTCTACTTCTACTTGCAGTTTTTTGAGTCATATCATATTGATACGTATAGTTAATTATAATATTTTAATTAGTTATATTATTATTTAGTAGTTATTTATTATTATTTAGTGATGGTCTAGCACTACAAGAAAACGCGAAAAAAACGACGGATTATAGCGACGGAATGCAATTCGACGCTAACGACGACGGATTCAGCGACGGAATTTTACACCTACCAAACTTTACGACGGAATCAGCATTCCGTCGCTCCGTACTGGCGGGAGGTAGTGCGCGGCATATTAAACGATGGAAATAACGACGGAAAAATTCCGTCGTTAGTTTGGTGACGGAAAAATTCCGTCGGTAAAAGAATATAATTAAAACGCTGCGTTTTGAGCTGGCGACGGAAAAATTCTGTCGCTAAATCCGTCGCCAAAAACAGATCTAAAAACGGGAACTCCTCTCAGTTTCTCCGATTTTGCAGAAACCACAAAGAGTTGTTGTGTAGTTTCGTCTCCTCCGCGACGCCTTCCGCCACCATCATCCGCCGGTCGCTGTCCGATCATCTTCTCCGTCCGCCACCATCAACCGCCGGTCGTCTACCCATCTTCCGTCACCGTGCACTTAAAATCTCAGGTTTTGTTTTTCATTTTTTCATCTTTTATTCAATTTCAATTTCTGAATTAGTTTGTTTTTAATTATAATTGTATTGCTTACATTAGGGGTTTTTAAGTTAACATATTTTGTTTATTATTACAAATTTAATTTTAATTTTATAATTATTTTAGATTAGGGTTTGCTTTTCAAAATTTAGTCATTTGTTTTTAAAAAAATTAATTATATTCTTGAAAGTTATAGTGAATGAATATCGTGCTTATTAATCATTTATATATTGTAACTTTTATATGAGGAATGAATTTATGCTAATTAATTGTTTAATAGCATATTTT